AGGGCTTCCCTGGTGGCGCAGTGGTTGAGAGTCCGCCTGCCGATGCGGGGGACACAGGTTCGTGCCCCGGTACGGGAAAATCCCACACGCCGCAGAGCGGCTGGGCCCGTAAGCCATGGCCGCTAGGCCTGCGCGTCCGGAGCCTGTGCTCTTAACTGTAGAGGCCACAACAGTGAGAGGCCCGCGTACCGGGAAAAAAAAAAAAAACCGTAAGTGAAACCCCGTGAAGATCGCTGATTCTATTCTCTACCTATTTATTCTAGTGGAAGAAAAATCTATGGCAATTTTGGAGTGAGAAGCATTGTCCTTTACAAGCCCAGTGCTGAAAGGGGATGTGACTTTACACATAATGGGGAGGACCTCAGGCTTCAGGTGCTACACCGGACACTCCGGGCTCGGAAGACCTTGTTCTAGATCCAGCTTCCCTAGCAGCCAAGAGCTGTGTGACGGGAAAATAGCGCCGCTGAGAAAGGATGTTGGCTAGTATACAGAGTGCTTTCACGTGTCTCACTCATTAAGCAAATGTTGGGCACGTGCTGGGTCATTTGTAACTGGGGTTACAAACACAGGCACTGCCACAAGCCCTGCACCAAGTTACTGTAATGTACTTAATTCTGTCCCGAGTCTCGGCCGTGCCACCTGCAGCACCTTTCACATGGAAAATTCTCCTCTTAATGTCCTTCTAACCCATTCTGGTCTCCACTCTGGTGTCAGGCCTAAGGACTGCTCACTCTACAGCAGCCCCCGTGTCAGGCCCACAACATGCCTCACGGTCTTCAGGGCTGTGGTCGACGCTGCGCCTCGGGCAGGGCCCAGAACACCGTGAGTGCTCAAGGCGGAATGAACGGACGAAGGCCTGCGAGAGGAGCCAGGCGGCACGGAGGAGCCCTGAGCAGGGCTGGGTCCCAGGCAGGGGCCGCCATGGGCACAGGCTCCGAGAGCTCGGAGCGGGGGAGGAGCTGAAAACGCTGGGGCGGTGACAGGTGCGGGTGGCCTGCGGTCCCCACGGAGCTGAGTGTGGGGACGCCCTGAATTGTAACGCGGGCGGACAACGGTCTCTCGGGCTGGGCAGCTCTAAGGCCTAAGAGCGGAAGCGCGGGCGCGGGCTCCGGCCTGCCCGCCGCGAGACCTCGTCCCCCTCCGGGCCTGTTTCCCCGGAGGTCCCTCCCGGCGCCTCACCTGCGGCGGTAGCAGGCGCGGCGGGCGCGGGGGCTCGGCCCCGAGGCCCCGCTGCAGGGCGGCCTGCTGGGCCGCGTCCCGCAGCCGCCGCGCCGCGTCCTGCAGCACGAAGGGCGGCGGCGGCGGCGGCTTCGCGGGTGGCTGCGCCTTCGTCACCTGCTCCAGGACCCGCCGCAGCTGCTCGGGGCCCAGTGGGGCCACGCGCGCGGCGCTGCCTCTCTGGCCTGCAGGAGCCCGGCCGCTGCCGCCACCGCCGCCGCCATCCTCACTGCCGTCCTCAGCCTCAGGCTCCGCGTCCGCCATAACGGCCGACGCGGGGACTCGAACCCCTGTCGCCGAGCGCCGGCCGCTCAAATGTACGTCACCTGGGAAAGGGGGGGGGGCAGCTACGAGTGCCCCGCAGGCCAAGATACCTCGGAAGGCGAATGCACCTGACCGAGCAGATCGGTAGGCGGGGCCTGAGCCGGCCTGGCTCTGCCACCGCTTCACCAACAACAGGACCCGGCCGAATTTTCTTATGGCTTGTCGTGGACGTGTTTATCGTTCACATATCACCTCCTCCAGGAGCTGTCCGGGAACTCTCAGGCAAAGGTCCTCGAGGTTCCAGAGCCCCGGCCCTAACATCACCCTGGCCAAATGTTCTCAACGTCACGTGAAGAACCTGCCTGGACGTAGACTCCTAGGCCGCACCTCCAGACCTTCCGATTTAATATACCCAAGAGGTGGTTCAAAGTGTGAATTTTTTTAAATAAATTTATTTTATTTTATTTATTTATTTTTGACTGCATTGGGTCTTCTTTGCTGCACGCAGGCTTTCTCTAAGTTGTGGTGGTGGGGGGCTACTCTTCGTTGCTGTGCGCGGGCTTCTCATTGCGGTGGCTTCTCTTGTTGCAGAGCACGGGCTCTAGGCGCGCAGACTTCAGTAGTTGTGGCTCTTGGGCTCAGTAGTTGTGGCGCACGGGCTTAGTTGCTCCGCGGCATGTGGGATCTTCCCGGACCAAAGCTGGAACCCGTGTCCCCTGCCTTGGCAGGAGGATTCTTAACCACTGCACCACCAGGGAAGTCCCTCAAAGTGTGCATTTTTAACAAGTGTGCGCCCCAACCCCGAAATTGTTTCCATGCCGGCCCCCTCCTCCCTACCCACTCACCCAGACAGGGCGCACCTCGAGGTTGTAGTTTTACTCATTCAGTGTCCAGCGGTGCACGCTCAGGGAATGAATGATGGATGAATGTCAATGAATGAACCAATGAGCAAATGAACCGCCCCACCCCTCTTCACAGCTCAGTTCGCAGCTCTACCGCCCCCACTTCTTCGGCCCATCCTTTCCCAATCTCCCCTCCTTTTACTTTCCTGATTCCTCGTGTCTTGTAGCCGCTAGTGCGTGCACCTGTCTCAAGGGCGCAGTAGAGCCATTGGTCAACAAACACTAAGCGCTTGTTGGGTGAGTCATCATCGCTGCCCTCTGTATAGAGTCTAGGCTGGAAGAAGGAAGACAAAACCAGCATTTGCTGTATGATATAATGAATGCCATGATGCTCATGGTGGGGGCAGCTGGGGGCCAGGCTGGTGTCTGAGAAGTTTCCAGTGAACTTGCTGATCATTTTTCTCTCCACAGGACCACCATCGCATGGTCATCATAGTCAATACTCTTGCGTTCGCTATGCTCCCTGCAGTGTCTATCATTAGTAGCCTCACTAAGGATTGGCCAGAGGGGAGATTAGATTTGTGGAATTTGTTTCAATTTCTTTCTTTCTTTTTTTTTTTTTTCCTCAATATTTATGTGTTTGGCTGCGCCGGGTCTTAGTTGCGGCACTCAGGATTTAGGATCTTTGTTGCAGTGTGCAGGATCTTCCTTGTGGCATGCGGGATTTTTAAGTTGCAGCAAGTGGGATCTATTTCCCCGACCAGGGTTCGAACCGGGGGCCCCCTGCATTTGGAGCGCAGAGTCTTAGCCCCTGGACCACCAGGGAACTCCCTGTTTCAATTTCTTAATCCTTTTGTTTTCTTTCTTTCTGTCTTTCTCTTTTCTTTTCTTCCTTCCTTCCTTTCTTTCTTTCTTCTTTTTTTTTAAACTTTTGAAAGAAAGATCTTTTCATCCTTCCATCCTCAGATGTCAGAAAGATCCTCTCTGATCCCTAAGCCAAGAACTGCCCCTCATCTAGAACACAATATCCCATTTATCTTTTTGAGCCTGGCAGGGAGGAAAAACTTTTCCTCTATCCTCTCAGGTTCAGTCTCTGGGGGACTGTGAATTAAATTGACAAAAGACAGTTTAACAAGAAAAAAGACCATTTTTAATAATGTATTTTTATTCATGTACCTACAGGAATTCACAGAAAAATGTGACTCCAAGAGGCAGTCAGAATGTGGGGCTTATATAGTATTATCTTAACAGGGGAGGGGATGGGTGGAGAGGGCACTTACCGGACAACAAACAACTTAGGAAAGATAAATAGGCTCTTACCTAGAGTAGATGGGAGATAAGATAGTTTTATGACAATGCCTGTTTAGGTGTGATGCCAGCTTCTCCTCTCCAGTGATAAAAGTCAGTCTTGCCTGATTGTTCCTGGGGATTTATGACAATTGAATTCTTTTGAGTTCTTTTGGAAGGCTCTACTTTAGGCAGATGAGGCTTTTCAGGAACTCAAATGGCTTCTGCTCAAAATAATTTTTATGCCACAGAGGTGTATTCTGGACCCCTTCAAGCCCTTGTTTAGGAAAGTATGGGCTCTGAGGGCAGCAACCTCAGCTGGCTTCTCCTCTGCAAGGTCCCCGCATCTAACAAGGTGCCTGTAACACACATCCAAGGTGTGAAATGCAACCAGTGTACAGGTGTCTATTCTAGAGGTCAGCAGCCCTAGGTTCTCCTTCTAACTGTTCATAATAACAACGGTCCCATAGCTGGCATTTAGTGGGCACTTTTAGTACACACTGAGCACTTGCCAACGGCTTTAAGCCTGTGGTCTGTGGCTTTAAGCCTTGAGCCGTTACAGATTTAAGTCAGAGCTTAAGACCTATTTGAGAAAAGAATGAATGATTGCCCCCATGGCCCCGCGACAAGCTGAGAACAGTGCCCTCAGGGTCCAGTGGTTAGGACTCGGTGCTCTCACTGTCGGGCGGGCGGGGTTCAATCCCTGGTCTGAGAACTAAGACTGAGCAAGCTGCAGGGCTTGGGAAAAAGAAAAAAAAAGAATGAATGATCTAGTAGATGTTCTCACTGGAGATTTTTCAAGCATGGTTGTGAAATGGAGCAGGACTGTATGGTCTTTCCCCGCCATGTCCTCTGCCTGCCTTTTGTCTGTAGAAAAACTTTAGCCAAAGAATAAGAGTAACCAGAGAAGTGAGAAAATACAGAAGAAAGGAAAACAAACAGGACAAAACAATAATAGTTTAGTCAGAAAGCAAAGTCAAGGAGCTTTAGTTCCTCCTCAAGGGCTACACATAGTATTCTGAGCCGTATCCTGGGAGCTGTCTTGTAGGTACTGAAATCCCCACCAGGTGGAAGAAAGTAACTCCATGATGACCAGACCGTAGCCATGACATAAGCTGCCACAACTCCGAGAACTGGCCTCAAAGAAATGGGAACAAACCGACCCTGGAACTGAAGATTAACTGTACTGAAAACAATGAAGGTGACGCTGATCAGAGCACCGCAAGACAAATTTCAAGATGACTGTCAGAGCTGACTGTGCTGTTTCTGCATGTAGCCCCCTCCCTCTGTCTATAAAAGCTCTCGCCCACTGGCTGTCGGTGGGGAGTTGGCCTTTGGACAGGAGTCCGGCCTCACTCCCCGCCACCCCCCCTCCCCTCACTGTCGGCATCTGAAATAAAGCAAACTTTCCTTTCCACCAACCTTGCCTCTTTATTGCCTTTTGAGCAGCAAGCAGCCAGACCCCACTTTCGGTTACAGTTGGACCCTGATATAATATGGCATTCACTCTAAAAAGCTAGACTTTGTTAAACTAAAAATGCCTGACTTGGACTATGAGTGAGAAATTCATCCAGCTGCCCCTCTGGCTACACACTGCAGAACCAGGAGGAAGAAACGTGAAGTCTAAGAGCTCTCTGAAAAACAAAAAAGGAGCAAGAGGTTTCCAGATGCTTCTGTTACCCAAAAACTGGGTTCGCCTCTTGGTGGGTGTGGAGCCAAAAGACAACCAAGCCAAAAATTGAGAGAAGGAAAGATGTATTACTTGCAAAGAGTAAGGAGAACACCAGGGAGCTCTCCCAAAGCGGTGTCAATCCAAACAGCAAAATTGCGGAAGGGGCTTGGGTGGTATATGTATATTCATGAAGGGGCTTGAGCAGAGGAGAATTCAGCCTAGAATTGGGGCAGAGTTGTTGATTGAAATCACAAGGGTCAGAAAAGGTCAACATCATGAAACTTTAGGTTCCAGTAGATCTGGTGAAGAAAGTTTAAATTCTGCAAAACAGCTCAAGAAAGTGCTTCCGGCTAATCTTTACCACTGAAACAGAACTGGGAGTCTTTACAACTGATTTATTACCTTTGGTATTGTTACTTCTCTAGCCTAATAACAGTTTGTTCTTTCGTTCCCTTAATCCCTTAAGATCGTTGTTACTGAGACCTGTTCAAGGGCAAGCATTGTGGCCAGGCTTAGATCACAAAGTGACTTAGGCCTGAAAGAGCTTCTCTCATGTCAAGAAAGCCATGACTGGTTCTCTTTCTCCCGCATGCTGCCCAATCTGCTTACACTTCCATAGCCAGAAGGGCCTCACTAAATGGTCAGTGTCTCCATGTGGGTTGGAATTTGTGTCTCTCATTTACTGCTCCCTGCCTAGACTAGGGTGCCGGGCATGCAGTACGCTCTCCATTAACATGTGTGGAATGGTGCTCTCTTTGGCAGTACATATACTAAAATAGGAAGGATACAGAGAAGATTAGCATGGCCCTCGCGCAAGGATGATACTCAAATTCTTGAAGCGTTCCATATTCGAAAAAAACAACAGCAAAAAAAAAAAAAAAAAAAGATGTGTGGAATGAATAAATTCCAACCCTGGATTTTCAATTTTAAGAACTCCAGAAAACTGAGGTCTCCCCGCCGAGGGCCCTCAGAAGCTCTGCATTAGGCAGCAACCGGCGGTGGCAACTGAGAGCATCCTAAAAAAAGACCCAAAGTGGGCTGCAGGCTTGCAACGCGCGGGGACTTGGGGTAACCAGTCATAGCCCGAACCCGCGCGGGATCCTGCCCTCCCTCCCCACCCGGCAGCCAGCCCCAACTTCCGGGCCGAGTCCAGAATGATTCCGCGACTCCCTCCTGTTTGCACGCGGCTCACAGCACTCAAAAGGCATATTTTTCAAAGCCAGTTACAGTTGTAAAACAAACCCATAACGTGGGGGAGGGAAAAAGGAAACTGGTACCTATGGCCCGTACGGGGATCGAACCCGCGACCTTGGCGTTATTAGCACCACGCTCTAACCAACTGA